TAAGATTAAATCCAATTTACTAAATGTACTTTAATTGGTACTAATTACATTAGCTTTCATTTCAGAATCACAAATTCCCCATAGGTTTTACTTTAATAGTCTTCTATCAAAATCAGCACAGGATGACTGATGATGAGCACCAAGTAAGGGAGGAGGGGGAGGTGGCAGAAGACAATATTGACCCCCACATTGTTTCTGCTCCATGCATTTATCCTTTTATCAATTTGCTAAGTCACAGAGTCATGCCTCCATCACAGCCATCATTTTCTGTTCCAATGAAAAATTTCTCTAAAAATAAATACTGTGTAGTTGGAAGCAGCCAAGAAGAACAGGAGCTTTAACCGAAAAATACACAAAGGTTTCAAATATCAGGGCCACCAATTACTAGGGTACTTCCAAGGACTCCGGGGACTCCTACTCTTGAACCCTCTGAGACGCAAATCTAATAAGTGAATAAGCCTAACCTGATCTCGAGAACTAGGCCCAATTATGCTGCAGGGCAACTTCACTGCATTATTGCCTGCTTTCCATTACAAGGGCATCCAGCGAGTACATCTGGAAAAGAAGCTAAGAGGAACCAAGGCTGTCTGCCTAGGAAAACAAATAAAGACAGATATGCCTCTGTGCTTAAGGGGAAAAAGAAAGAAAATATAATAAGTAGGTGGTTTGCAGGGCTGTCTGTATTTCATAATGTGATAAACTGCCCTCAGGATTCTTGATGTGATTGAATTTAGAAAGCAAGGGGAAAAAAAGAGGGAAAAATACACTCAGCTCTCAATTTAAAATGGACAGCATTTGAGGACTTATGAACAAGAAGACTGTACAATTAAAGGTGCAAGTATAAAATGTAATTAGGAGACATCCCAAAAGACTATACTTCTGGCAGAACATGAAGTATCTATCTGTCCAGCACTTATACAGTATAAAGAAATCTAAGCCTAGAAGGTTATGGAGACAGGGAGGGAGGAAGTGATGGAGGAAAACATAGAAGGACATTAGTCACTAAGTTCAATCTTTAAAAGATACTAATTAATCTTCATATAGCAAAAAGACATGTACAAGATACAGACCTAAGATGAAATTTAACAGTAATGATAATTACCAAACATCTCAGCTGTAACTTGTTCAAGTAAAGCGGAATGAATGGAAGACCATAAGCTTGAATGAGCTCTCTGTAAGCAGGCAGTATTTATGTTCCTAATTTAAACAGAAATGGCAGTAATGCCAAAATGATATTCTAACTAATCTAAATGCATAGTATCCACAATACACTGTCAGTGCTACATTCAACATAACCATGGAACTAATGAAATAAAAGTATTTGGAATTACAAATTCCAATATTCTCATCCAATAAGTGATGACTTTGGAGCTTTGCAACTGTTTGCCCAATTTTCATGTTTTCAGATACCATTGATTTTCTGTCTTTTACTCTCTAATTCACAAGTTTAATGTAATAAAATGTACGCGGTGGGGCTAACAACCTTACCAAATGAGAGGCCCATGACATGGCAAAAGATGAACAATATTGGGCAAATCATCTTCTCCAAACTCAGAAAGTAATGATGCACACACCTTTAACATGAATAAGAAAGGAAGAGCATAGTAATCCGCTTCCCTAGCTCTGTACACTGGGAGATGAAGACATACACCTATTCCACTACTGGTTGGTGAGAAATCAAGCAACACTATTAAAAGGGCATTAAAAAAAATACACCATAAAATGAATCATTATTGCCAAACAATTCAATTTTTTTATAAGTGCTGTTTTTCTCTCTAGGAAACCCAAATCAAACCACTTAATTTATCCTCCAGCAAAAAAAGGTTAAAACCCACACATTGCTCAATGAGTCACACCACTCACCTTTCCAACTAATCACCACTTTTCTTCAGCTGAACTAATTGCTAGACTTCAAGGCACAGTGATGAACCTTATCACATCCTGCTACCAGGCTCATTTACTTTTCATAAATTTTGGAAGTAACTGACAGTTTCCTGGTTAAGACCCAACTAAGTAGCCTCCAGGGACCATTTTGAGGATTTTACAGCAATTTATTTGGTAGGGCTACAGAGTTCATTTTGATCCTTTGCAGGTAACCCTTTACCTTTCCATACAGTTTTACTTTTTAATCTTTTCTAAGAAAACATATACTCTTTATTTCATAGATTCTAGTTTATTTCTATCTTCACTATAACATAAATCTTTCTAAAAAGAAAACAAAAGTATGTTAAACTTAAGATCTTGATTTTGAAACATATTTAATTTGGTAGGTTTACGCAAGTTTTAAAATCATTTTTAACTATGATTTAAAATAATACACAACAACAAAAAAAGGGAAAACACAAAGAAAACCCATAGCATTCTACGCATCATAAATCATTTTTAGAATCCAGCCATACAAATGTACAAAAGGATAAAGAGACTACAGAATTATGTTTTTAAAAAGCATGATATGTTACTGAAATGATTTTATAATTAAAGGAAACCAGCCAAGGCTTACCTGCTTATGCATTTCTATATTCAACCCGTAGGACATTTCATAGTACTGTCAAAGAAGGAAAATCAATTACAATTCATGCCTACCATCAGGCAATATTTCTATTTTCTGTTTGAAATTCCTAATGTCCCCAACAAGAATGTCAAAAAACCCACAACCCATAATACCCATTCCCATAAACTCTATGATAAGCTCGGCTATATATCCAATAATTTTAACTTAATTAAAATACAAAAAGTCAAGGGAAGAGAGATACTCCCAGTGAAAAATGTAAAAAAGTTCAAAAACTGAGCATCCTTAACATGTTCTGTTCTATCTCAGGATTTATCTAAAGAGAAGAAAAATACCAGTATGAACTCAGTGACAAGTGTACTTCAATTCCTAGGCAAGACCAACATGTAAATGGGAAAAATACATCTTAAATTAATCTTGGTGCTTTGACAGAATTGGCCATAAAGGTAGTGTTACTGAGAAATAATCTCTGGAGTTAACTTTCTCATTTTTTAAGCACAGTATGTTTATAACCACAAATTCAAAGGGAAATTGCCTTAAATGCAAGCCCACAATGTAATCCTTCAGCAGCTTTAGAAGCCATCATACAAACATATATGATTACATGTCTTGGAAGGAAACTGCAATTTTTTTAAACCAGATGATAACTGGTACTTTGGCAATCTTGATGAAATAAACCTTGGGAAATTTAAAAAGCCTGTTTTATTCAATACATAGATGAGGTGGAATTTCATTTCTTAATTTAAAAGGAAAGATGATCTTTATCTACTTTAATTCCTCAGTCTTTAAAAAAAGAAATAAAGCATTAAGAACTAAATCATATACAAAAAAAAATCTTTAGTTAAGATCATTTGGAATTACAGTAAAACACAACAAAGCAAACCACCAAAACACTAATATTTTGATCGTGACTATAAGCAAAGCAGAAGTACAGAGGCGGTGGTGTTGTTTTTCAAAATTCTTAAAAAACAAAGCACAGAGAAAATGACAGAGCATGCAGCTAAACTTTGAGGACAATTTCAAATCAAAACCGGTTTTCAGAGGCAAGTTCTAACATCTTGGAATTACAGGTTTCTAATGGAAATTATGCCACAATCTCAACTACAGTGGCAACACAGTAGTGATTTCTTTTGTAGCCTCAAGCTACCTGAATGAATTCCTGCTTTTGGTATATCAAACTACTAGACATTTTGAATGTGTTATTCAGCTTTCTTACCATGACATAATGCCGCTGCATCTCGGTCTTCTCACTGGCCAGTTTTTCACATTCCAGTTTCAAACTGTTCAAGACATAATGAAGCATAAGCACTCTATAACACTTGATTTACATTCTCTTCTAATATCCAAGTACAATCATTACTTCCCTCAAGATCAGTATCCGTAAATTTCAGATCAACAATTAAAATACCAATACATTAAAAAAAAGAAAGAAATAGCTTCATTTCTCCTTTTTAATAGAATGTGTTATTTAAAGTTTAAGGTAGGAAGATGAGGAATCTCTGTTTCATCCTTGAATCTCATCCAGAAATGTGTGTTCACAAATTCATTTAAAAGAAACAACATTTTTTTTAAAAATCAATGAGATTAACATATGGTCACAAATGATAAAGCCCAGTCCCACAAAATATCACACTTGAGTTTTCCTTAATGGTGCACAAAGAGATGAATGAAAATATGAATCAATTATGTCTTAATGAATGATGTCTCTCTTTCCCTCCAAAAATAGAGGCAAGTTGAATACCACCACCCAGGGGGCAAATTGTTGATTTTGTCCAAATTGGGGTTTTTTTTAATTTAAAGTCATGTAAAAAGAAATATACATCAATGAGAATTATGACAAGACGATTTTAAAATGTCAACCTTAAGGCAATTATCACTCTGAGAATAAAACATCTTTCAGAAAAAAATGAAATGAGATAGCTCCCTTGCTAGATGCCAAGATTCTCCCCCTTGAAATGCTGAGAGCAGAAATGTGAGATGGTCAGAAGAAAAAAGAAGAGGAAGAAAATCCCAAGTAACAAATAAGCAAGGAAGCTAAAAGGACCCTGAATCTTATCCCTAGCTTTCTTTCTCCCCCCAATAAATCATTATTGAAAGTTTGAAACAATCTTCCAAATCTCCTACAGTCTCAAAGTGTTCTGCCTTCTTTTTTATTTATTTTGGGGTGAAAGGCTCACTCTTTCTTTGCACCTGCCCAGAAGGGTGCTGTTACTCACCCTTTCTGTCTATAAACAGGAAAAAAAGCCACCCCAAATCTTTATATTCACCTTGTCAAAATGAAAAAAAAAGGGGGGGGGAGGCGCTAGGGTAATGGGGGAGAAAACTGACAAGAGCTAAGCAAACAGGAGGATCAAGGAAAGTAAACATCATTACCTGTGGTACTGAGCCTGTAAAAACTGAAACTCTTCCTTAATCCTATCGCAGGACTCGGAAATTGTAAATTTAAAGGGTTGAGCAGGCTGATGCGGTGCCTAAAGAACAACAATAAAATATTTAATTATCCCACATCACAAGCGAGGGAAGAGATTGGGAAAACATACCATGCAAGGGTGGGGGAGGGGGGTTCACAGCACGTTAAGGCAAAGAGCTATTAAAACTCTCTCTTACCCCCCCCACTTTTCCTTCTTTAACCAAATACAGAGAAAAGTCTCTCCCCCTCTAGCCACGCATTCCCTTCATTCCCCGTACTCTACACCCCCTAGACACAGACACACGCACACACACACCGGTTTTTTTTTTTTCCCATCCACGCCTTTCTCACGAACATCAAGGTTCGAAAGCTCTTTTCTCATTAAGGATAAGACGGGGCAGCGTCTCGAACACACGCACTCCCCCCGGCCTGGAATCGAAACTGCCAAACAGCCACGGTCCATGTCAGGGACACTTTGGCCATATTGTGAAACTAGGCTGAGGGGGGTGAAGGGGAGGAGAAGGAGCTGAAAACGACACGTTTCATTCTCCAGGGACAAAGTGGGAGAGGAGGGGAAGACATCACCCCCTCCCAGCACGCACGCACACTCACTCTCACACACACACACAAATACACACACACACACACACACACACACACACACACGAGCGCGGGCGCACACTTTGGACCCCCATCAACCCAGAGATGCAGAGAGCTCAGAGAAAAGCCCTCCCACTCCCACGTCTCCCGGTCCCTCTTCGCGCCCCCCCCACCTTTCCATCTCTAGAAAAACTGAAGGAGCCGAGATCGCAAATCGTTATCTTCGGGTTTTCAGGGTTTCCCGAAGACAACAATAAGAAAATGGCTACAACTCAATTGTTTTCTCGAAACGACCCCCCCCCGCCCCAATCCTTTCCCTCCTTGCAAATATCCAGCAGCAGCAAAGGAGCTGTCTGAGAGTAATGGCACGGATTTATTTGTTTAGGGTTTCCCCCCTTTTTTTCCAGCCCTCGTAGTAAAACTGAAAAGATAGGGAGCGGGGTTGGGGTGGGGAGGAGGATCCCAGCATAGAAGTATCCCCGCGCCCCCTCCCCGCAAGCCGGGCTTTGCTTCCACTCACCGGGTGTCTGGTCTGCGGGTACATCTTGCTCAGATCGCGAATCATCCAAACCGATTTAGTTGGCGGCGCTGGGCAGAGCAGCTCGGTTCATTTGTTTTAATGGCAACAAGGAGGAGGAGAGGGCACCCGGCGGGCGGGCGGCGGGGCTGGCTGGCTCTCGGAGGAGCGTCTCTCCGGCGGCGGCAGCGGCAGCGGCTATCCCTGCGCCCCCCTCCCCGCCCCCGGGTCTCGCGTGACACAAGAGGAGGAAACCCTCGGCGGCGGCGGCGACGGCGTCTCTGTACCCGGCAGAACGGAACCACTCCAACATTCCACGGGGGGCTTGTCACTGGCCGGCGGTCATTGTCGAGGGTAGACTGTCTCCCCCGGCAACGTTCGGAGGCTGCTGTCCCCACGTTCCGGAGGGTCCGTTCCTTTTGAAGGAGCGGCTGCCCGGGAGCTCCTGGAACGTTCCTTTGGCGGGTAATACCCCTCCGATCGCACCAGTCACTGCCCTCCAAATGTGGTGGTGGTGGTGGTGGAAACCGCGAAACACCCCGTGTACCCGCACGCAGTCTCTCTCGCCACCCCACTCCAAACTTTTATTTGTCTTTTAATTGGTTATTATTCCTTGGTATGCACTGCCTCTCTTCTTGCATTAAAAAAAAATGCAAACTCCTTTGATTCGGCTGTGGTCCTTGCCCGGTGCTTTCTGTGATTCTCTGGAGATTATTCGGTTCACAGCAACGATCTTTTAACATGCACCTTTTAGCTTCTTTCACCTCATCTCATTTCCTTATTTTTCTTCCTTCCTGTTTTCTCTTGTATTTCACCCCCAAAAATTTTTTTTTGAAGAGGGGTTTAAAAAAAAGAAAAAGAAAAATGCTTTGCGGCTTTATTTCTCTCTCCTTTCAAACTCCTCGAACACCACCACAAAACAACATACAAGTGTGTGAGAGAGGAGGAAGAAAGCAGCAAGCAGCCTAAACAACCGCTCCGAACAGCTCTAACAACACGCTCTGTCTAGGTGACTTCTTTGACCAAATTTAGCAGCAGCAAATCATTAACATTCTGATACATATTCACAATCATAGATGAAGGCGGCGCGGAGCATCCCGGGAGATGTAGTTCGATCCTGGCAACTCTTTCCCTACTTCAAGTTGCAGGGTCGAACCAGACAGACTACAATCACCGCCAGGCCAAACGACGACTCCTGGGTCCCCCACCAACGCCCCGCCTACTCCCAGCGCAGCGGGCGACACAGACAACCAATCAGAGACTGCTAAACATTAATCGCCGTTCTGTGTTACTGCCCATCATTTCATTTCTGACAAATAAGGAGCCAGTGGGGAGGAGCCGGACAGGCTAGTTCCCACGTGGGGGCCGGGAGTCGCCCGAGGCTTGAGCCAATGAACAGTGTGGGATGAGGCGAGCGGGGGCGGGGCAGAGGCGGCCCGCCCGAGGTGGAGCTTCGTGGTTGCTGACGTTCCTTAGCGCGAGCGTTTGAACAGGGGAAACATTTGTTCAGCTGTCAATCAAAGTAACGTGGGGCTTGGTGGAGCTGCTGCCTTTGCTGCTGCTGCTGCTGCTGCTGCTGCTGCTGCTGCTGCTGCTGCTGCCCCCGCCGTAGCGGTTGCATCTTGAAACCTGGGTGATAGTGGCAAAATAAGGGTGGAAAGGAGTGGGATGGATAAAGAGGAAAGGAGACTTGGTGATGGTCAAATGTACTCAACTTCTTATCCTAGTCCTCTCTCCTACAAAACCCCCAACTCCAAACCCAAACATGCACACGACACTGCCCTCCACGGCGGCCGCATTAGCCGCGCCAGGAATGCGGACTAATTAGGGTCCAATGTCTCCTTAAAGAGACAAGCTCGGCCTTGTGTAACGTGCCGAAACCCCTGTTGAGACAAGAGAGGGAGGATCACGCTGATCCCACTTCTTTCAGTTCACATCAATTTTACGCACCGCTGGAGCTGGCATAATTTTCCGTGTGAACGGGGACTGAGTCCCCCTGCCCTTGTTTGGAGACACAAAGCACCGCCCAGTGACTGGGAGGGGGGTGTTGTGAGGGGTTCGAACTGTGGTGCGGGGAGCGGGGGAAGGTAGAGAGAAGGCGCCTCCTCTTAAACAGTTTAAGACGGATGTGATTGCTATTTAACCCTAGAGCTCTTGCTTGGTTTCTCTTTCCCCGGGGAAGGGGGGGGGCGAATACCCAAAGAAGGCTTTTTTGCCCCATCCCTGACCCGCTAAGCCAACTTCATCCCAGGCCTCGATCTGAGAAATTAAGTGAGCTGCCTATGTGCTTCCAGGACTCGGAAAGGAGGCTTAGGATCCCCCAAAAAACTTTATTTCCAGCTTCCACTCCCCATGCTTTCTACCCTAAAAAAAAAAAAGTGCCTTCTTTTCCTCCAACCACTTTGTCACTGTGTTGAGCAAGAAATGCAGGCCAACAAGTTCGACTCCGACAATCTGAAAAATCAAAGCCTGAGGTTGGGATTGGAGTGGCGATGGGGGCATGGAGAGAGGTCTCTAGGGGTCAGTTACCTCTCGCCCAATTTTAGCTCCGGAGAGACGGTGGGCTCTCCGGGCTTTCCGTAGGGAAAACGAGGGATGGCTGGGCTGTTGCACGCCCACCGGGGTAAGGTGGCATCCCAAACGTCTGGTTCCTCCTTCTTGAGTGTCACTAAGTAGCAGCAGGATGCGCTGCGTCGGTGATGAAGTGTGCCAAGCGTCAGGGAGCCTGCCTGCCCTCCCTTCCATCCGCCCCCATTAGCACCAGCCTCCCCAGCGAGGCTTACTCCCGGGAGAGGAAAAAAGGAAATCTGAAGGCAGCTGGAAGATGCAGTCTGGCCCCGGGCTTTTTGGAGAGCCTGGGGCTGGAAAGCAAGACTACCCTGCCAAGCCAGTGGACCCAAACTAAGGGAGGTGCCTGGTTTCGTTAATGGAAAGATGCACTTGCAATGCCTGAGCTCTGGAGCCTGTCCAGATTTTAGAGTGGAAGCTTCTTGGGGCACCGTTGAGCTTAATTTGGGCCATGCATGTTAGTGTTTAGTTTTAGTGTTTAGTTAGTAAGAATATTTAGTAAGAAAATACAGTTTGAGGAGTCTTGAAAAAACAGCCTTGTTTGATGCAGTCAGCCTCTCATATTTACATTGTACATGGAGCACATAATATAAATAAGAGGGAGAACAGGGATGCAAAAGTTTGTAGAACCATCACTTCCCTTCTCTTAAAATAGCTCACCATAATGATGATGATGATAACAAAGAAGAAAAACAACCATGACAACAAGTGATTGTAGTTCAATTCCTTGGAGATTGTGCCTAGCTCTCATACTGTTCACACCATCACAACTACCCCAAAAAGAGGAGAGGAGTACCTTCCTGGCCAGATCCTGAACCTATCCCAAAACTAAATATATATATATACATATATATATACATACATACATACATACATACATACATACATATACACACACACATACACATATGCACACACACATATATACATATTATATATATGTATGTATATATATATCTCAAGTAACTTTTGGTAATAATGTCATCTCAGCAGTGAGACAGACGATATATGCTATACTTTCAAAATCGTTCATGACTCTAAAGGTACTTTACATACATTATCTCATGTGATTCTCACAACAAGCCAGTCTTAGGTAGGTCATGTATTATTATCCCCACTTTACCAGTAAGTTTACAAGTTTAGTGAGATTAAATGATTTGCTGAAGTTCACCCAGGAAGTATCAGAACCCAGATTGTCTCCAAATTTGGAGTCTTTGCCTTTTCTACTTGTGTATTGTCTGAAATAATTTATACTTGCCCTTATAGGATACATGTATTCTCTGGAATTCCTGGAAATATAGTAATATATTTCTTGCACTATGGTAGAAAGCCTCTGAATCAACTGGACCATATTTATTGAAATTCTGTAGAGCAGTCTCACTTCCCCCAGCAAAGGAAACTTGATGAGACTTCTTCTATCAGAACCTGAAAAGATATTGAGAGGGTCAATGAGCAGAGAGTGTCCTTTGCTCTGTTGGGAAATATCAAATAGCTTGTAATAGGAAACTTTCTCATAATATCTCCTGACAGTTGTGTGTCAACAGGAGAGTTGGAAGAGAGGGATCAAAATGTGGAAAAACCCAGGTACTCAGGTAAGTTTCACCTTTGAGCCGTGAAAACAGAGCACTGCAGCTTGTAATATCTAAAAGAAAGAAAAAGTAATCAGATATAAAGGTACTATGAACCATCACTGGACCAGAATACCACCCCTGAGCAGAAATGTATGTCACACCTTGGTGATAATCAGGTAAGAGGAAAAGGTTTTAGTCTAGAAAAACCATCATTGAACATAATTCTGGCTCAATCAATTTACAGTCACCTAATCATTACAATTTGGCAAATTTCAGTTAAATGGATATATACTATACTGAGTATTATAAAAATTTAATAAATTGCTGTATGAAATCAACATGAGCTCTCCAATCATGGCATGCTTTCATGCTCCACAGATAATCAATGAACCTACCTAACAAGTGTGTTGTGAGGATAAAATGAGATATTTATAAAGTGCTTTGCAAAGCTTATAAACGCTATCTATTGTTGTTATTTATTCATGTGATTGTTATAACTGATTGTCATTGCAAAAAATGATTCTTGGCATATAACCTTAACAGAATTGTAATAATGACAATGGATAATATGTTATTTACTTGAGAAATGGCAACATCCACCCCCAAACTATTTTCCCTAATTACCCCAGATTATTTGACTTTCAAAGAGTTATAAAGTTGGGGCAGCTAGGTGTCTCAGCAGATAGAGCACCAGCCTTGGAGTCAGGAGGACCTGCGTTCAAATTCAGCCTCAGACACATAACGCTCACTAGCTGTGTGACTCTGGGCAAGTCACTTAACCCCAATTGCCTTGGGAAAAAAAAATGAAGAGTTATAGAGTCTAGAGTCAGAAGGGGCCTCAATATTTTCCGGTCCAGGCACCCGGGATGCAGTAAACAGAATGAAGTCTGTAGTTAGGGGAAATCTGGGTTCAAAGACCATTTCACTTATTTAGTTGTATGACCATGGGCAACATACATTTCAACCTTTCTGAGCTTCAGTCTCATCTTCAGCAAAATGGGGATAATAATACACGTGCTACTACCTCACAAGTTCTAATCTCACTTGCTGCTATTCTCATTACAGGTCACCAGTGAAGCAACTAGGGCCCGAAGTGATTAAGTGATTTGCCCAGTCTCATAACTGGTAAATAGTGAGGTAGAAAGGAAAATTTGTGTTTCCTGGCCCCATGTTCAGAGCTCATGTTTTCTATCCTCTTAAAATTGGTATTGACCAATTAGAATGTGTGGTTTCAAGCATATTTACTTAAAAATTCATTATTTATTTATTTAGGAGGGGGAAGGTGGAGGGAA